CTTGAGCGTCGGAGGCTCTACGCCGGAAACCCCTCCGGCGTTGAGTTCTTGCAGGTGTTCTTGTGGCTCAACAACGGTTCGAACGCCATCACATCAGATCTAAGCTCATTCACACCGGTTCGACCCAGATCCGGACGTTTTCCCATTGGACCGTTCCAGATCTGAGAAGAGACCCATCAGCGCACAAACGTGCGAATACAAGTAGTTCCTAGCTGAATGAGAACAACCAACATCTGAAAAGTGGGAGGACAAGTCAAAAGACCGCCTAGAATCCCGCCTAGCAACGCTAAAATAAAAACTCGCAATTAAACTAGCCAACTACTCAAACAACTAAACAACTAAAAAAGACCCCAAAAGGCTAATGCCTGAGTGTTGGATCTCAACAGGATAATAAGTTTGACACTCGGGCTATAGTTTTATTTCAAAATAATATTTTTATTTCTTTCTCATTATTTGTTGCACAACTAATTTTTTATTTAAACACACGTGTAGTTCACGAGTGTTAAAAATACATTAATCCTAAAATCACGTAATGGTTCCTCTAATAGTTTCTTATACCACGATGATTAATAAGATCTAGAGTTTCTTTATCACATGTTGACATGTTCTTGAAGAAGTTGGTATTCAATCACAGCCAGTTATATATAGTTGTTTACAAAAAAGCTTGAAAAATAGTTTGTTGCGAGGATGATATACCTATAAGAGAAAAAAAAAATGTTGTCTAAAAGAAAGTTTTTATTAATATATAATACTACCTCCTATTTTTAATATATGTCGTTTTGAGAAGTTGCACACTAATTAAGAATTTTTTTTTATTCTATTTATTCAGTTTTACTTATTCACGAATACAATAATAAAGTTGGGTAAATAGTCTTAAAAAAAGGGTCCATCTTGTGCATCGCACAAGTTCTTCACTAGTTAATGATACGTAACAGTGAAAGACATAAGAATGTATTGTAGCAATTGCATGCGATATATCAATGCTCCAGGGCGGTCAAAGACTCTAACACTGGTCAAAGGCGATAGCAGTTCTGTAATAATGGGTATTTTATTTTTTCATATAGGAACATTCAGCCATTGTGCGTATAATACACCTGTTAACATAATGTGCATTTTCACATGAACTATTGCGCATTTCGCCTATCAAATGTTGTGCATTGGTGACATTTTGGTAAAATTGTGAACTTTTAAATGTGCACTTTACTCATATAGTAATGCAAAAGTTTACTAATGGTACGTGCCATAATAAAATCGGTTATCTCATCTTTTTATTTTATTTATTTTGCACTGAAACACTATATCATCATTCACGTCCAAAATCAATGCAATCACTAGATCACCATTCTCTCGCAAAATCAACTCATTAATTTCTCAACCGAAAGGGAACTAATCAAAAGAAAACTCGTATAATTAAGATTCCGAGGGATCCAAATTCAAATAATAATAATAATAAAAAAAAAAAAAAACTTCACATAATCGAACAAGCGTTGGTATTATCGTCACTGAATAGATTTGTGAGTGTCTCCTGATCAGTAGCATTTGACGTAGCAATTGCAGTCTGAACATTTTTGACATATCCAGCGGGAGCCTTCTTGTCATAAACTTGGGATAAATGAGGAGTTTGAACTCTGTTGAATGGTATGTAAGGCCAAAACTCAGCCCTTTTCCCAGTTTTCTTGACAACTCTCTGTAACACTTTCTGTGGTTCAACGTAACCACTCACTTTTATTTGGTTCATCTTTCTGTTTACTTGCACACTTTTCACACCTGCAACAATTAATTAATTAATTAGCTAGCTAGCTACAATAAATAATGACTTCAATTAAGTACTCAGAAATTCTATGGTGCCACATGTAGCATGTGTTATGGTGTCATAACATGATGTGGCACATTATGATTGGTGTCACAACATGATGTGTGATAGTTGTAGCACCAATCATAATGTGCCACTTCATATTGTGGCACCATAATATGTTGCCACATGTGGCACCATAGAATTTCTGAGTAAGTACTAGCTAGCTAGCCTGCTAATTAATTATAGTATATCTTAAATTATTGGAGTGTAATAGATTTTGAAAACAATAGTGTAATTAGACATGAAGAAGTTGCAGCATTCCATGTGGGATTATATTTATTTATATCTGTGAGCCATTTTACGCAATTTGTGCATATATATGTTTGCCAAAGCTATATATGTGACAATTTGTGCATGCATATATATATATATATATGAAAAAATGCATGCAATATTAATATATTATGAACCTCTGATGTTTTTAGCGGCATTCTTGACCTTTCTTTCACATCCATCACAATCCATTTTCACTTTGATCTCCACTGTCTACAAAATCAACCCAAAATTATTTTAATATCAATACATGTTAATTGGAAAAAGTAACTTATCATTAATTAATCATGTTAATGAGAAGCTGGGAATCCAAATTTTAATATGACCAAATTGGCCATTTATTTTATGTTTTAATTGGAAAAAGTAACTTATCATTAATTAAGTGAATTGCTATTTGGTTCGGCCGGACGCTATATTACTTGTCCGGTCCGTCCGGCCGGACACCCATTGGTGTATCCGGTCCGTCCGGCCAGACACCCATTGGTGTGTCCGGTACGTCCGGCCGGACACGAAAAAAAAAATTTAAAAAATTATTTATAAAGTGAAAAAATATAAAAAAAAAATACATAGTCAATCTTCAATGTCTTGCCGATGTCATGGTATTTTTTTCGGATTTTTTCGACATTTTTTTGACGGTCAAAAGAGCCGTGAAAAGTCGAGAGAGAAAGAGTAGAGAGAGAAAGTAGAGAGATAGTCATAATAGCAAAAACGTAATTTGGGGGGCAGTGATTAGTAAAAGGGGCGGTAAATAGTAATACCCTTAATTAATTGATCAAAAAAGAGATGGAATATGGAACAATATATAATATCCGCGCGCCTTCTCCAAAAAACAACGCGTATTGCTATTTTTTTTTTTTTACGAGAAACAAACAATTAATATGTTTAA